CAAGTGAAACATGCGTGCGCGGAGGGGGGGGGGGGGGATCTGGGTGCGTGCGCGCGGGGCACGCCGCATTTCTCTGCGCGTGGAACTGCGTGCGCGGAGGGGGGGGGGGCCAACACGCGCCTGGCGCGTGCGCGCGGGGCACGGGTTCTCACGTGTCCACGGCCCCCCAAGGGGGACCCGTCTTAGGCGCGTCGGATTATTCTCAAGTGGATGACGTGCCCGGAGGGGGTCCCAACACGCGCCTGGCGCGTGCGCGCGGGGTGGCACGGGTTCTCACGTGTCCACGGCCCCCAAGGGGGAACCCAATTTGGGCGCGTCCGATTTGTTACATTTAAGACGTGCTCGGAGGAGGAAGCCCAGCACGCGCATGGCGCGTCCGCGCGGGGCATGTCTTTTCACGTATCCACGGCCCCCAAGGGGAGACCCAGCTTGGGCGCGCCAGATCCTACACGTGAACATGCGCGGGGACTTAACATGCGCCCAGCGCGTGTGCGCGGGACACGTGTTTTCGTGTCCACGGCTCCCGAGGGGGGACTCAATTTGGGCGCGTCTGATTTTCCACATATGGAAGTGCGTGCGCGGAGGGGGGACCCAACATGCGCCTGGCGCATGCGCGCGGGGAATGTGCTTTCACGTGTCCACGGCACCCAAGGGGGACCCGTGTTAGGCGCGTCGGATTCTCTACACGTGACAAAACGTGCGCGAAGGGGGGGGACCAGCATGCTCCTGGCGCGTGCGCGCGGAGCACGTGCGCTCACGTGTCCACGGCCCCCAAGGGGGACCCGCCTTGGGCGCGTCGGATTTCTCGCACGTGGAATGCGTGCGCGGAGGTGGGGGGTGCTCACCTGCGCCTGGCGCGTGCGCGCGGGGCACGCGTTCTCACGTGTCCACGGCCCCCCACTGGGGAACCCAATTTGGGCGCGTCGGATTTGCTACTCGTGAGAGTACGTGCGCGTAGGGAGGGGGGACCCAACGTGCGCCTGGCGCGTGCGCGCGGGGCACGTGTTTTCCGTGTCCACGACCCCCAAGGGAGGATCCTTTTTGGGCGCGTCGTCGGGTTCTTCACACGTGGAGTTACGTGCGCGGAAGGGGGGGGCCAACACGCGCTTCGCGCGTGCGCGCGGGGCACGTGCTCTCACGTGTCCACGGCCTCCAAGGGGTACCCATCTTGGGCGCGTCGAATTCGTCACACGTGAAAATACGTGAGCGGAGGGGGGGGGACCCAACATGCGCCTGGTGCGTGTGCGCGGGGCATGTGCTTTCACGTGTCCACGGCCCCCCAAGGGGGGACCCAGCTGGTGTCCACGCCCACCCCGCCCCCCCAGGGGGAGACTCAACTTGGGCGCGTCGGATGCGCTTCGCGTGAAACTGCGGGCACATGCGCCTGGCGACTGCGTGTCGAGCATGTGCTTTCTCGTGTCTGCGGCCCCCTTGGGGTGACCCAGCTTGGGCGTGTCGGATTCTTCACGCGTCAAAAAGCGTGCGCGGAGGGGGGGGGGGGGCAACATGCGCCTGGTGCGTGCACGCGGGGCGCGTGTTTTCACGTGCTCAAGCCCCCCAGGAGGGGAGCCTTTTTTTGGAGGGGGAATTCGTTACATGTAGAAGCACGTGCGCGGAGGGGGGCCCAACATGCGCCTGACGTGTTTTTCAGGTGTCCACGGCCCCAGCGGGGAGTACCCAACTTGGGGGGGCCCAATTCTTTACACGCAAAGCTGCGTGCGCGTAGGGGGGGACCAAACATGACCCCCAGGAAGCAGCCTCGCGCCCTCGGAACTCTGGGCCTAGTGAGCAGCACACACACACACATATATATATATATATATATATATATGTATAGGTATGTATGTATGTATGTACGTACGTACGTACGTACGTACGTACGTACGAATGTCTGTTAGTATTCGTATTTCTAATGTTGTGGTTATTATTGTTATTAACAGTTTTTGTAAGTATCTTTGCGTTCTCGTTATTTATATTCGTTTTCGTACCATTCGTTCTACCATCATTGTTATTGGTATTGCGAATGTGATGTGTCTTATTTGTTAATTATATACTTTCAGTTTTATTCCGTACCAATATGATTAGTGTTATTATCAAGTATTCATATATTAAGTGAAAGTACGGTGTGACTTAATAATTTTAGTAGTGAACGTACTGATGCCATTGATAGGTAATCTGATTAAGTACAAGAACAGTCATGACGAGAAGACGAATGGTACTACTAATAAGTGAGCAGTGCATCTGCACGCAGCCAGCTTCTGTCGCCGAGTAGGATTTTTGGATTTTGCGCCGCCCCATGCCCCAACCACCTCCTGCCTTCCCCGTCCCCCCCTTCGTCCGATCCGAACGGGCGAGGGGACAGGGCAAGGGGGGGTTACGAAGTCTGCTGCATGCAGCTGGTTTCGGTCCCGCTGCCGGGCCCATTCGACGCACGGGCGCCTCCGCGGCGCCAGGCGGCGCCCAGGAAAACCAGCCGCGCGAGCCGATTTTCTACGTTGCC